ATACAGAATTTTTCGAAGGTGCCCTTGACAACAGCCGTTGTCCCTACAAATACACGACTCATTCATAGTCGTCCAAGGACCTGTAAGTGAGGTCCTTGACGTTTGGATGACGATGTTCCCAGTGACGTGCAACACATAGGACAAACAATGGAGGCAACTATCTGATATCGTTTTCATCCTTTATAAACATAAAAGCCTACTACAAAGCAATAAAAAACAAAGACCACATATTTCTGTGGTCAGGAACCTTAACAAATCTGGCATAATACCCGAGTAAAGGGGATGAACTTTCGTGCCAGAAATCTTCAAATGCTTGCAGGGCCTACCTAACATTCATTTTTCTGGAATGAATCTGCATGATACGGGAACGGGCTTCCTCATTGGGCGCAGGAAATTCGATTTTTCGATCCAGACGACCACTGCGCAGCAGAGCAGGATCGAGGATGTCCACTCGGTTGGTAGCAGCAATGACCTTGATGTCATGATTCGGTTGGAAACCGTCCAGCTGATTCAGCAGTTCCAACATGGTGCGCTGTACCTCACGATCTCCAGCCTTTTCGCTGTCGAAACGTTTCGTGCCTGAGAAAGAGGAGGTAAACAAAAAGACAAACCGATAATTACTTCCGGCAACCGGAAACAGGCGAGAGGATACAAGAGATAATGACGCGCAGGGCAGAGCAGAACATAGACCGAAAATTCCAGAGACTTGAGTGTAAAAGCGCAATGGTTGATAAAGCTCAAAATGTTTACAGGGCGCATGAATGATTACACTGACGTTTAGACAATGCAGAAAGTCCGTTGGTCAGCTCCCTCCCTCCATCAAAATCAATACTTATCTGCAAATATTTGCAAATTAAAATGGACACGGTAAAAAGGATTCGCTTTCAACTTTTAATTACGGCAACAACTGTCAGCTTTAGCATTACGAAGCTATTGTGTTAAAATATTTATTCGCTAACTACAGTGTTACTATAACAATCACGGCAAAAGCTAAGGAGTCCTGTTCTCGGCAATAACTTTAGAATAATGTGTTACGCCACAGTTAATAATCGCGGTACGTTTGAGTCACGGATAGTAACAGAGAAGAAGTAGAAGCAAACGCTGGAACAAGAAATTTATTTGCCTAACGTTTCGGAGTCACGTACCTGATGCTGTCCTGGTGGTGAAGTCGAGCATGAATCTGAAAGGTCAGGCGAATAAAATTTCTTGTCCTAGTGACTGCGTCCACTTATTCTCAATTACGGTAAGAGTATAAGGCAAATAGGGAGTATTGGGACACCTAGTAATGAACCTAATACCTCGCAACAGCACCATCTAGCATGAAA